ACCAAAAAGATGAAGTTGATGTCCACTAAAACATGGATATCATTTCTTAGGTTACCACTACCTGTTGATGTGTACAAGGAGGTAGACTTAATAGCCCGTTCTTTGGTTTACTCTTTTTCAACTTTTATTTGTTTTATTTTAAATACTTTGCTTAGGCTAGTTTCTTTGTTTTTTCTTTTCTGTTACATGGAAAAGTTGCATAACTTAGAAAAAAAAATGAGCAAATAATAGAAAAATGAAGTCATAGAGAATAAGGATACAAATCCAAAATCATATTGATATTTTATAGAGTGCTCACCTGCATTATTTCCAAGTTGAAACTTCATGCACACAACCTACGTGAAAATTGAAATGATAGACAATAGAGTGCTCACTTCAATTATTTCCATGGTGCAACCACAGGTTTTTATCTTTCACACTTGCTGAAATTTAAATTGAACTCCTTAAACATGTGGAAAGCAATAAAAGGGTCACAATTGATAGTTAATTTTGCAATGGTGAAACCTCTATTAGCTATGGTGGATACACCAAGTTTCCTTGGTTCAATGGAAATTGAGCAGTCTGCTTAACCAAACCTCCCAACGCGTTTGAAACTGGAAGCTCTTGTCTACTGATAAAATTCTCTTTGTCATGAGAAATCTTCAAGTGAAATTCTACCATGTCATCATTGGGCGTTTGCAGTTTCAGAGCTGGCAAGGAAAGTACATGTTTCTGTTGGGGAATTTGAAGAAGTGGTTCTTGGGATTATTGAGGAGGAGAGAACTGTAGACTTTATGCAATGGATGCATTGCCTTGTTTCCGGTCTTCTCTTATATATGTGGATGGATACAYTGGATTAAATTTTTATGTGTTAATTGTATATAGTTGGGATGTAATTTAACAATAGTTCACAAATATTTATGAGAAACATTTATTTAATTGTGGCCACTTTACAATTAGCAACGATTGACTTGATTGTTACATATAGAACCTTAAGGTAACAAGTGCTTGATTGTTATTAATTCAATAACAATTCATAAAAATTGTTGTCACAAATATTTATAAGAAACAATTTGTTCAGTTGTTGTTAATTTACAATTGGCAACAATTAACTTGATCGTTGTATAAGAAACTTTGGGGCAATAATTGTTTGATTGTTGCTCATTCAACAATAGACAACAAGGTTATACAGGTTATTGTCTAAGATGATTGTTAGATACAACTCTTCAATTGTTACAAATTTACAATTAACAATAGTTAACAAAATTGTTAGGGATGGTACCATTAGACAATAAGTAATTGGTTGTTGTTAAAACTATATAGGTAACAATTTTTATACATTGTTGCTATACAATTTGTTTGTCAACGTTGCAAATGGTTGTTGCAAAACACTATTTTTGCTAACAATTGGACCAACTATTGTAAAAAACATATTTCGCAATACTTAATTATTGCAAAACACTTTTAACAACAGCTTCACTAGTAACAGCTCGTTCAGTTGTAAATAAAACATTTGGCAATAGTTTTTTTTATATTGGAAATAATATTTGGTCTGTTGCCAAAGATCAATTTTCTTATAGTGAACTCACCATGATTTTTCAGCGTTTCTCTTAAACTCACCATAACTTTTTAAAATGTCCATGGAACCCCATGTCAGTAAATTTACGTTAAACCAACTAACGTTTGTTGTAGATTACTATTTTACCCTTTGCTATATATTTGATCCATTTTACAATATTCCAAGAATACCCCATCATTATTAGATTCAATACCTTAATTGTCTGAACCCTATCAAAAGAGAAAAAACAACACCACCGCTGAATCTTCACCACCTGAAACAAAGAAGATAACTTCCATCAAAGAAGAAATGGACGTCGTTATCTAATCGGTGGCAACAAAAACTGTGGTTTTACTTTGTTTTGGACTATTGGTGAGAGGAAATCAGATTGTTGACAAAAAACAATCATCACCTCTGCATCTTCATCGCTTGAGATGAAGAAGAAAACCACCACCGGTGAAGAAATGGATGCCAATACTTGATTGGTGGCGACAAAAGTCATGGTTTTACTCTATTTTGGACTACCAAGGAAATCAGATTGCTGACAAAACCAATCACCACCATTGCATCTTCATCACCTTAGACGAAGAAATGGATGCCAATACTTGATCGATGGCAACAAAAACCAAAAGAAAATCAGGTTGCCAATTTGGTACTTTATCGTCATTTGAAAACCCAAGCAAATATCTTTGTTGCTAGCTACTGTTGTGCATTCTTGTACATTGTGTTGGTTTGAAGGAAAAAGTAAGGAAAGGAAGGGAAAGGTAGGGAAACCTTTACAAATAGGTTTCCTACCTTTCCCTTCCTTTCCCTACCTTTTCCTTCAAACCAAAGATAGCCTAAGGGTTTGGAATATCTGCATCACTGTTATGACAGGCCTGTCATACATTGTGATAGGAAACCAAACAATACACTTTTTGGATGAGCTTTTGAAACCTCGAATCGCTGATTTTGGGCTCGCAAAGATTGTGCAAGTGAGTTGTAGGAAGGACTCTACGGCTGTGTTTGGTTTGAAGGAAGAGGTAGGGAAACCTTTACAAACCTTGTATAGATTTCCCTACCTTTTCCTTCAAACCAAACATAGCCTAAATGTATAAGGCAATTGGAAGCTTAAGGGAATTTTGGTCATAAAAATATGGTTAATAAGGCCGATTCACCATTTAGGGGCAGTTTGGTCATGAAAATTGCATTTATGCTTACATAGACAGCTTTTGTTAATGAACACTAACATTCCTCTAACAAATGGTGAGTTTTGGAAAACAAAAGCTCATTGACGTGGGGTTCTTTGGATGTTGTGAAAAGTTATGGTGAGTTTAAGAGAAATGCTAAAAGGTCATGGTGAGTTATAGACAATTTCCCTTTAAAATATTACTTAGTTATATAATTTCATTATTTAAATATTAATTATTTTTTAATTGAACAATTCACAAAATCATAGTTTCTACTATTATTACATAATTTTTATTAACTTTGTAAAATATAAAATTATTATTAATTTGAATATTATGAAATGCATTATAATTATTTTTCTATTTTTATGATTTTTTTAAATTTATTACATAATTTAATATTAAATATTCTGTTGTACAATTATTTAGTTCTAATGTTTTGTTAAAACATATAGTTATTAAAATATGTAAATAATATTTAAAATTTTTTATTTATTTAAAAAGCACTTAAATAGTTTTGTTATTTAATTTCTTAAAATATCATTTAGTTATCAAATTGGATAATCTATAAAATTATAATTTATATTGTTATTACATAATTTCATTATGAATTTTGTAAAAAAATAAAATTATTAATCCAAATATTATTAAATCTATTATAATATTGTTATGTTTTTAATAAATATTTTAAAGTTATTACATAATTTTGTTATAATATTTAAATAATTCTTAAAATTTTTAATTAAATATTTATTTAGATACATATAGATGAGGAAGTGGGAGAAAGGATAAATAGGAAATAGAGATAATTTAAGAGGGAATAATGGGTATGTTTGTTTGGAGAAATAATTTTTTAAAACAACACTTTTTCTATGGGAAGAGTGGATGAGATAATAAAAGGGAATCAAAATGGGACTCTAGTAAATGGGGTAGTGGTGCTACTTGACTATATATAATTAGATCAAATGACACATTATTTTCACAAGCAAGAGGGCTTTTCCATAAAACAATTGGGACTATATCTTCTCAAGAAAGAGGATCCAATAATTGAGTACCTTCCACTTTCAAATAGAAGTTTTCTTTATTAAATATGTGTATATTCATTATGAGAAAAAATGGGAATAGTTAACTCAATTCTTAAAAAACATGTTAACCTTAAATGCATGATTACTTAGAAAAAATTATCTACTCCAAAGAATATGGGGTTCATATTAATTTTTGTAATTCAATTGTATAATTTAAATAAAAATCATTATAAAAACTTTTAAATTACAAATTAAGCCTAATTTAATTATTTAAATTAAATATAATTATTAAATAAATAGTGTATCTCAAATAAAATAATAAAGATAATTGTAATTGCACCATATTTTTTTGGGAGAATGATGGTTCAGCCCAAGGGTCAGAATTTTTAGGCCCAAAGTACAGTTGGGGTGGGTGCCAACACGGAATTGATGCCAATTCATGGGTGGGCATTGGTGTATAGAATGTGGGCTTTGACATTTTGAATGTTTATAGCACTATAGTGGAAATCAGAAATCTGCATTGGGCCTGTCCGTATTTCCCTGTATTTTTTTGGCAAGAGCACTCCAATTAGACAGATGGATTGCCCACTCTACRGTAAACAACCGCTACGTGTATGGACAGATTTAGGGGGTGTTCTTTTTTCAGATTTTTAGAGGGGGGGAAGTTGGTCAATGGGATTTTGGTTCCCATTGACCAAGAATCCCATGTTATTTTTTCATATGGGGGCCAGGGAAAGTTTATTTTTCTAGATACCCATCTCCTAGGTGGGTAAATAACTTTYCCACTTAAGGGGAAAGTTGCCAAAACTTGAATGGGACAAAAATGCCCTTTTTAATAATGGATTTTTATGACTAAAATGGTCATTGCCTTATTTACATGAGAAATAAAAGAATATGAGTAAATACACTTACTCGGGTAAGTGTTTCSCARGAAAAACTTACTCAAATAATTGCATTTACTCATATAAGTAATTTATCGAAAAGCGAACGAGGCCTTAAATTCAATGAGAACTGATTGGATCAATATTGCCACGTGTTAGATATAAGTCGAGAAAGAAAACCAACCCACATGTTCTCCCAATTAGGGCTTCTCTTGTATGTGTAAGTTTGTGCACTTTTTACCCCATTTACAACCCAAACCCCCTCGGCCACTCTCCTCCCCATTTAATTTCTTAGCATGTTTTGTTGTGTTCTTTTATTAACCCTCTTCACTTTCTCTATTTCTAATCTCTCTTTTCTCTCTCCTCTCAGCATTTATAAATAGGCGTTGCTTAGACGCTTCGAGAAATTGGGGTCGCACTCCTTTCAAGTTTCCATCGCGTATGACTTCTTTGGGGTCTGAAGAAAAAAGGAAAAATAAATATATGGACAGAGTAGACAAAGAAGAAAGAACCGAACACACACATACACAGAGAGACACGCACGACAGAGAGAGTGAGAAACAAGAACAGCTTTTGAAATCGGTTTTGATGATCTTGTCCTCCTACAATGTCTTCTTTGTAGCGGACAAGGTAATTATACATAAAAATTAATAAGGTTTTCATCATCATAAGTCTTCTCTCTTCCCTTTCCCCTCGTTGCATTAATGCTCTCAATCGAGCTTCTGCAACTCGTCTTCTGTTTCGGTAGAAGCCGAGAAGAAAGGGGAGAGAGAGAATTAGTTTCTTTGTTTTATTAATTTACTGGGTTTGACATATTTGTATTTTTGATTCGCTTTTGAACAATTTAATATTAGGGTTTTTCTTACTGGGGGTATGATTGGCGTGTTTCTGCTGATGGATTTTGCTAGGGTTTGGTCGGATCGTCAGTGGGGACGGCTCTAATTTTGTGGGGTTCGACTGTTAGGGTTACGATCAGTGTACAGGTTGGCGGAATAAGGAGGGGAGTATTGGATTATTGAGGTGGTGTTGTTCAGTGTGAAGTCGAGATCGAGAGGGGTTATATTATGGGCGCAAGTTTGGATTTTGTTCTGAGTTGGCTTTGTGGATTCAGCTCTTCTGGGGTTGTGTTTAACGACGTTTTTGTACGGTGAATCTGCAGTAGGAGATGGTAGAAGATTGCTTTTCTGGACATGGAAGAAGATTGTATTTTAGAATTTGTGAAAATGGTGATTCAGAATTTCGTATTTCCTTGATTGGAGGTTTGGGTGCTTGTATCTTGTGCTCTCCGAGTAGTTGATTTTCTGTGCTGGGAGATGCTCTTTACATTGGTTTTCTCCGATAAAGAGCAGGTGATGGTTCTTTATTGTCCCGTAAGGGGAGGCAGAGAATTGGATTGCAGTGGACATTCTTCGTTCCTCAAGAAGCCATTTGGATTGACTTAGCTTGATGTATTCTGTACCTCAGATGCTATCTTGTTATTCAATTTTTCTGTCTGGGATGAGATAACCTTGTTCACTGTCTGGATACAGTTGATTTGTTTTTTCTGGTATTTTCCCTATTGGGCACCGGTCAAGCTAGTGCACTGACCCCTTGCAGTAGATTTAATAGGTTGAGTTCATTTAGTTTTGATTTGCGTGGAATCTACACACATCTGCTCAATCCCCGGTTCCATTTCTGGCAAGAGAAGAATTTGGGAAATTTTGGGGCTGAGAATATCATGGGGCGTTATTGAACCTGGAAATGATTGCGGGGACATGGTGCATGGACAGGAGCGCTGTTGCTGGTCCGTTCCCTTCTTGGAACAACAGTACTGGAAACTAAGTCACGCTTTTGTGTTGGTAGAAGGAACCCAAGTTGCTAATTCTGGGCTTCCGTGCAATGTCTCGCTGCTTTCCATTTCCACCACCAGGATATGGAAAGAAGGCTAGGACTGATGATGCCGACATACTAACAAAGGTTCATCTCTTATTTATTTTCTCAATTCTCTTGATTGAACATATTTGCTGGCTTCAGTTACAGTTATTTTGCATTGAATTGTTTATTGTAGCTTCCTATTTTCTTGTTTTACAATGATATTTATCAATGAGTTAGTGACATACGATGTCTCATGAAGCTTTGGTATGACATTCTGTCTGGGTTAAACTATTAAATTTGTTGTGTAACTTATGTTGTATATGCTGATAGTTCCTATGTGTTGAATTGGCTACTTTCTCAAGAGCCTCTGAAACAGTTAGGTTATCAAGCGAAGTATTTTAAATCATGGGTTCATATTTTCCACCCCATGTTCTCAGGGTTTTGTTGCAAATAACCAAGGTTCAAAATTTTGATACTATACGCCCCGTATTGGGCGTATCGTTAGCTTTCTGAAACCCCAAATAAGGGGTGTTTTGGAATTTTGGCACTTTCACGGGGTAGGCAAGCCTAAAACCAACCCCCTGAAACAATTTGAAAAAAACTAAAAAAAAAGTTATAAAGCATTGAATACCCGAAACGCCTGTTTGTGTGTATTGATACTTTAAACCATGCAAATAACACTTTGTGCATGTTCAATCCATTCCTGCAGATGTTTTATGAATTGGGCCATATGGTGTTTAKCATCTACTCATAGATGAATAAACCATTGAGAAAGGCTAGAAACAAAAAAGGACAAAGAAAAATAAATACAAGTTTTTGTTTTTCATATCCTCAGATTTATTCTTTGCAATTCAATTCTGACACCTTAAAGTGCAGCTGAAAATAAAGGCAATCAGGTCATGATATCTTCTTTCATATACCTGGAGATATTGTATTTACAATTGATTTTTGGGATACTCAATAAATCTTTTTCAATCTAGTGTAGATGGTTGACCTGCATTTATATGATCGATTGCCAATACCTGAATATTAGACTATTTGCATGTAATTCTGGTAGCATTGGGAAAGTTTTAATTATAAAAATAGCCCAATAAAAACAAGCTAGGTAATGTCATTTAATAAGTCTGTCCCATGTGTCTATAGGGAAAGCTAAATGGACTTTTATTATCCTTTATACATAATTGGTGCCACTTGAGCTATGTTTTTTGATATCAAGACCTTATGCGACCTTTCACACACACAAAAAAAGACCTTATGAGAGGCTTTGTTGTGCATATTTTTTAGAACTACCTGAGCCCAGAGTTTCTGGTTCAGATACATGAATCTGCCAATTATAATGTTTGAGGTGGTGCTTGGATATATTAGTGAAATTCCTAGAGTTGGAAGTTCATGGTGCTTGGACTTTCTCTTCTTGACCACATGTGCTTCTTGAAGAACATGTTGCATTTTTTTTTGAATAGTAAATCAAGGAAATATTGCAATTAAAATAAAAAGGAGTATGGTGCCAAATAAGGTCTAGCACCCCATCTCAGAAAAAGAAATACATACAACAGAAAACAGTTTTCTCATTTTTGGATTTCAAATTTCAACCTAAGATGCCAAACCACAGAATTAGCTCTTTTTTTTATCAGCAACTGTAAATTTTCATTAGATTAGAAAAATGATATAGTGCAGTGAGTAAAAAACATAGAAAAGACAGTGAGAGATAAAACATCTTTTCTCTCCCCTTAAATTTCACCCTTCCCTTACAATTGTGCCCAGAACAGAACTTGTCGTTCCACCCCTTGTTTTGCTAGAGTATTTGCAAAAGAGTTGGTGCTATGCTTGCACCAGGTGAATGATACTTCCATATCCCTGTTAGCCATCTGAATATTTTTCTTTTCATTGTTGTAAATTCACATCTTCATTTCATCACTATGCAGCCAATTTACAACCAACCGTGAATCCCCCCTTCCACTACTAATCTCCTAATATTCAAAGACCTTGCGCTTTGGACTCCTTCCATCATTGCCAAAACCTCTTCTCGAAGAGAATCTCCCTCTCCCGCCAGGCCTGAAAATAATGCGATTATTCTCCCCTCATCATCCCAAAATACACCTCCAATTCCGGATGGTCTTGGGTTTCCCATTCTACTACCATCAAAGTTTGATAAATCCCATTTCTGGTGGAAACCAAAGATGAGTAGTAGCAGGTGTATAAGGAACAGATTTTTGCCACTTCTTCCATTTCCTAAGAATATCATCCATAGTTACATAAGAAAAGGTTTCAAAAGCCCCAGGCCCAGATGGATTCACTATGGCTTTTTATCAAGACTGTTGGGACATTTTAGGTGATGACCTAGTGGAGGTCTTCTTGGAATTCTTTGAAAGAGGAAATATAAATGCGGGTGCAAATGCTACTTTCATAGCTTTGATCCCTAAGAAGG